AGGCAAAAAAGTTCTTTAGACTTTGAAGTGGAATCTCCTGTGTTCAAAGTGGTATCCATTGCCTCTTGTCCTGCCACTGGGCCCCACTGAGAAGACTCTGGCTTCATCTTCTTTACTCAACCCACACCATGTATTTTTAGATAGATAAATACAGGAACTTCCCCTGGCTTCCCTTCTCCAGCTGGAACAGAGAGTTCCAGCTCTCCCAGACCCTTCATAAAAGAGATGCTCCAGTCCCTTAATCACCTTTGTGGCCCTTTACTGGGTTCACTGCAGTTCATCCACATCCCTTTCATACTAGGTCACCCAGACCTGGACCCAGTGCTCCAGGTGTGTCTCACCAGTGCAGAGAGGAAGGATCACCTCCCCCTCCTCATGCAGGCCAGGATACTGTTGGCCTTTTCTTCCGCAAGGGTGCAGTGCCGGCTCATGCAGTTGGGTGCCATCCAGGACCCTCGGGTCCTACTCTCCAAAGCTGCATTCCAACCAGTTGGTCCCCAGCCTATCGTAATGCATGGGGTCACTCTTCCCCATGTACAGGATTTTGCCTTTGCTTTTGTTGAACATTTTGGTATTCCTGACCATCTGTTTCTCTAGGCCCTTCAAATGGCAGCCTAACCATTAAGTGCATGGTTTCCTCTCTCTGCTCCTGATTCTTTTGCAAGCTTCCTGAGATCACCACCACTTCCTCACTCAGTTATGGGCTGCCATCTCCCTCCCCTGTTGTTCCTTTTTAAAGCTCTCCTCTCTAGGTTGGTCAACCTGTTGTTTGTCTCATACAGTCACACTTGATACCTTTCATGCCTTGGCATAGGCAAAAGGCAGTGCTGTGGTTGAGGACTTCAAAAGTCAGTAGAGTAGCCATAATGGTTTTAGTGGTGGTGATTTAGGAAAACCAAGTTAAACCTTATAATTAAAGTTTTTTATTTTATTTTCATTTTTGTTTTCTTTATCTACAGAGAAACTAGCACAGGTGATAGAGACAAAGGTATCTTTTGGTTTTCTATCAGACTTCTGGCACCACCACCTTCAGCAGAATGCTCCACACCCTCAAGGTCAGATAACTTTAAGTATCAGTAGCTAATTCCTAGCAAAACAGTAGAAAACCAGACCCAAACAAAACCCAGTAACATCCTGAATCATCAATGAATCAGAACAGCCATGGATTTCTAAGGATCAGATAAGTAATACCTTTGATGGCTGGGAACATTTTCTCAATTTAGAATATTTTTTCCATAATATATTCAGACTCATTTGCCAGCTTGAGACACCAAACTTTATACAGACACATTTAGAACATCGACTCATTTGGCCTGCCTGGAATTGATAGTTCATTACATCAGCCATTTCTGAATATACTGCATCTTCTCTGCCTTCACAGAAAAAAACAGCAACAGCCTGAGCATGCCAACAGACCATTGATCTGAGGAAATACACTAAAAGATGCCTTTGATTAGCTGAGTACTTTGGGCCGCATATTTTAACCAAGGACAGACTGCAGCCTGCAGAAGAAGTTTTGAAAACTGACAGCAAAACCAGGAAGCTGAAAATCACAGGAAACAGAGGGGCTCTGGGACTCCACGGAGAAAAGCCACTGGAAAGAAAGCAGCGCCCAACAAGAAAGGCAAGAAATAGAAGAAATGCTGGATGAACAAGAACTACTGTACAGAACAAACAACAGTGTTCCAGAAAACTGAGATTAATCCCCCAGGCTAATGCAAGTACAAGGTATAAGGCAAGTTATCAGATGCAAAAATTGCAAAGGCGATTGTAGAGTATTTAACAGCAAAGATATTTTCTAAAAAAAAAAAAAAAAATCATGAAGCAGCCAAAGGACACAAAATTAAAATTACACAAAAAGCACAAAAAACTGTTTTCAAATACTTTTTCTGACTGACATAAATTCTGAGTGATGGAAAACATTACATGAGGGGTATAACAGAGGATATATTCGTTTTACACTTATGTATATTTGAAAACAACCATAATATTTTTATCTTTGCTTAATAATCCATTGTGCTGATGACTGAGTCCAAGGCACCTACCCACTGTGATCCTGTAACAGATGATGACAGTAGTTAATATCTTAGCTGCGCTGATGGTGTCATTATTACTGGCATGAAGTCTCCACAGTTTTTATGCATCCCTGCAATACTTACATTCATTTATAATCTTCAAGTACAGGTTTTAGACTGCATCATCTGCCAAAATCAGGCTCCTTATAAATCTCCTCATATACACTCTACATATTAATGAGCCATCTGACTCAAAGGTAAAGTGGTATCTTTTAAGAAGATTTAATGTGAGTGGAGATGCATCGGTATTTCTGTCAGCCTGCAAAGAACTGAGTGTTGATATCCAGGATGCAAACAAGATGCAAACTCATTTTTGTTTACAGCAAAAAGCTAAACCTGTGTGGCTCATGTTAAAAATGCAAAGCACATTTAGAGTGCAGTGAGTACTTTAAAAAAAAAAAAAAAAGATGAAAGAGATCATTTTCTCAGGGCATGTTACACAAATTTAGTCTCGAGTAATGCTATATGTCAGACACAGCCATGCTTTTGCAGCTGAATTTCAATGCTGCCTTTTCTTTCTTCCATCTCACCCTACCAGGGGCCATTCTCCTTTGAAAACTACTTTTCTCCTACGGATTGCTGCTGCTACCTTGTCACAACCCCTCCTGCCTCCATCTGCTGCTGCCTCCTCATGGGCCATCCCTTCTTGCTGGCTCCAGCCTGGGGAAGGAAGAGAAAAAAAAAAAAAAAGCCAAAGCAGCTCTACTTTACATCTTACCTCTAATATTGCCATACCTCTTCAGACAGAAACAGGCATACGTGTACATCTAAAACAGTGTCTCTAAATAAAAGGGAGTCAAACACACTTCAAGATTACTGTCTCGACACAGATGAAGGAAGGTGAAAAGGCAAGATTTTCTTATGGTTCTCCTGCAGCTCCCAGATGCCACAGTAGGGAACAAAAGAGCCCCTGCAATTTTCAATAGCCCTCTGTCGCAGCTGGCACCATGCCAGCCTGTGCCAGACACTGGCTGCTGAGCCCACTGGGGATGCTGTGCTGGAGCAGAAAGGCAGAAGGAAACCAAAAATAAAGAAAAGGCTATCAGGGCTGGAGACAAGGAGGGAGACAGAGGCAGTATAGAAAGAGATACCGATGGCAGTGGGTCAGGAGCAAAGTGGAGAAAGGGGAAAGGAGGTAAGATCTGGAACTACTGCTTTCTCCCACTGCATGCTCACCTGTCTTTCAATGCATTTTCTATAAACCCCTTCACTTTTAACACCCCAAGAGTTAGCTGTTCCTAGAGCAGCCATCTTCTACCTTCTCTTGGGTTGTATTTCACGGATGAAATTCCCCACAACTTTTGCTTCCTCCCAGTCCCAGTTTGCTTCTCAGTCTCTACTCTGAAGCAGCATCGCAAGCAAGAAAATTTCCTCCTGTTCCTCAAAGTTTTCAGTGACTGAAAACATTATACATGGAAATATGGAGGGAGCAGAAAAAACAAATCACTACCAAAACACCAACTTTGTTAGAACTGTCTTTTCTCAAAATGCAGGATGTTTCCTGAAGAAAACTGTGCCTCACACACTTCACTTTATATACAAAACTATCAGTTCACTAAACTGCTGTCCATACAGGGCTCTCAAAATGTGTTCTGGAACCACAGATGCTCCCCAGAAAACACAAGAGAAGTTAAACAGACAGCACTCAACAGAGCATCAGCACAACATGCTCTCATTCCCTCCTCCCAAGTTTTATCCCTGCTTAAATATAGAAAGTCCCCTGTACATCCACACCAGGCTCACAGCCTCCTCCCACAGCAGAATGCTGCCCTGGAACACTGTGTACTCCCAGAGGCATTACAATAATCTCATTTAAGGCATGGCCCGCCATGGCCAGGCTCTGCACCAGAAAAGAATTTATGTAGAAAAGCAGAGGCAGCACCAGGCATTTTGTCACCCTGAAAAGTCAAGGCTGTCCTGTTCTGACAGCTGCTGCCTGCAGCTATCTCTTCCCTCCCCTTTTAAGTTGCTATGTCTGTAACAGCAGTGGCAAAAAATGTCCTTCATGATGTTCCTAACCTGAATTAGAGGCAGAGGTGCAACCATGCATCCTGCTCTCTGCCCTCCAAGTTGCCCATCTCCAGCAGAGAGGGGGAATACCCTGCTGGATGGGACCACATTAAGTAGGTAGGCTCAGTCTCAAAAGATTTGCTTCTAAACATCTGTGTCATTTGCCTCCTCCTCTCTTTGCTGAGGCAGCAGAAGATGAATATGCAGTTCTTACAGAGGCCCTAGCTCACTTCTGGCATACAATAAATCAAACTGAACAAACACCAAGACATCCAACTGTAAACTGAGCCTGCTGAGTGGAGGCACTTCTCACAAAAAAGGTGGTAGAGATACTCCTAACAAACCTCTGTATTAGAAGCAGCCCAACAGGTAGAGAAAACCAAAGCCTTACAACAAAACATCAGAATCAAAACAACTTCCTCTGAAATACTGTTCAGTATAATGCTTTACCTCTCGATTAAACACTTGTTCAGTAAAGAACTCGATGCATGGCATCACTGAGTATGCTTTACTAGAAGCCAGGTTAAAATAATGAAAGGGGTTTTTTTATTATGTCAGTTTCAGAAAACTGAAAGGATTCCAAAGTCAAGAATTAAAGCTTTGCATGAGATTGTTGGGTAGGTCTGCTCTTCTCCACCAAATGCAAAATAGGGCATCTGCCTAGAAACCACGTTCTTCTAGCTGTGCAACCCCAGAAGTTTGCTGCTTCCCGCTCCCTCCAGCCTGCTCACACACCACACGCAAGACACAGTTATTCCACAGGATATTTCCTCTTCTGCCATTCTCAGTGTTACACTTTGCTCTATGAGAAGACACCTTTGCATCAGATCCTGGATGAACTAATTGTTTCCTGCTAGAAGGAACACATTCACGTTTTTGCCTCTAGACAAGGCTGGCAGTGACTGCAAAAGGTGGCTCTTTGAAGCCCATCCTCTGACCCCTTACTGGAGCTTCCTCTGACCTCTTGTTGGAGAACAGCTCGTCAGTCACAGGCAGAAGTCAGGACAAACAAAGGACTGTTTGTACAGCATCTCCCATCAGCCCTCCCTCTCTCTTCTCATCCCCGCTAGCTCAGGCTCTCTCTGGGTACATCTAAAAAGATACAGCTGCCAAGAAAGTGAAAGGGAGTGAAGCAGAAGAAAAAGGTACGTTTTGCTCCTGAAATTATCCTTGTGCACTTGTTCTGCTGCTGCTACTTACAGAGTACAGAATTAGAAATATATATGGAAGCATGCAAAAGATGATTTGGGAGAAGCTGCTTTATCATAGCCAAGAGGTGCTATTTAAGACATGGCTATGATCCAGTTCAAAATATCCAGTTCATGTATCTGTCTTTTACTATCTTGCTTTCTTTCAAAGTTGGATGCTACATATTAACATCTGAGGTCATTAAGCGTACTATATTGCCTTCCAGTGCTCAATATTATTGCAAAATTGGGGTATATGGAGAGGGGTGCGTTTACAATGAATTGCTGTCTTAAAGAAAAATAAATGGGGTTTAATGACAACTCAGTTTCTGGAAAGAATCATGGTATTGACAATAATTACAAAGCAGTAATTCACTGAATTCATCCTCAGTGGAATAGACACTGTCCTTACAGTGCACCAACAGTTCAAATAAAATAAGATTTGAAGGATTTTTTAAATGAAAAAAATTCTTTACAATATTATCAGTTATGGAGCTCCTATGTAATGATTTCTTAGGAATGCACTAAAAAACCTAACTATCGCGCACTGACACACCTAAATTTGAAATACTTAGCTCAGCATTTTACAGGTGTTTCTGAAAGGGAAACTCAACAAAAACAATAATATACTTATTATCAATAAGTATTTTTAGCTCTTGAACTCAAAACACATTAAAGGGAAACAAATTTAATATATACTTGCTTCTTAAATGCAACTTAAAAGTGGCACGTGCCACTGGACAGACTAGAAAAGATCATACACCAAAAGTGTACCAATTAATGTATTTCTTGTTTTCAACATTAAGCAACTAGAGACACAGTATGCTTAAGGATAAAGGAAGGTTATATTTAAGGGTTGATAAACCAACTTGTAAATATTTATATTTTTCCAAACATGGAGGATCCCTAGAGGTGCCAAAATACACATTTTGTGCCATTTCTGTTTTCCCTATTTCTAACACCTGAGCTCCTACTGATACCATGTGGCTTTTAAAGGGCATCACTTCTCATGAACTGTTACCCTGTTGTTCTTGGACATGGAGGCTGGAACTTTGTTTTTTCTCTTTGGTCTTTTTTGACTACCTCTGCATCTAGCAGATCCAAAGACTAAATGATGCCAAATTGCCTGGCAGGATAATTCAAACACTCTCAGCTGAACAAGCAGGGACAGCACTGATTCCTGACTCACCATGCATATTCCCACTCACCCTTTTCCTTTACAAAAAGCTCCAAACTATTTCAGAGCACTTGTACTCCCAGCTGCATTTAGTCTCAAACTTTACTTACGCAATGTCAAAATAACCAAAATAATTAACTGAAAAGAACTTATGCAAATGCAAGTTCATTTTCAGTATTTTCAGATGGCTTTACTCCTGCTAGAATTTGAAATTATACAATCTTGATAGTGCAATCTTGTCAGGCTTAGCATGAATGGCATTGCTGTCTTTACAGAAGGTTTTATAAAATAAAGAAATAGAAGAAGATGCTTGGAAGCAACGAGTCTTTGAGCCACCTTAGTGATGGGTTTTGTTGACATTTTCCTGACTTGTTTTATGAGAAAAGACTGTCTTCTGCAGTATGCAAAAGCAGATAAACTGGTTTTGACACCCATTTTGAAATAAATACACACATACTAGCTCTGTTCTTTACCCAGGCAATCAGTGACACTCCAACATCTGTGCAATCCTGTATTTGGGAAGAGAAGTTGCAGCACTTTGTCAGAGAGAGATGCTGCATCTGAAAGGTCTGCTGAGTTTACCAGCATTGATCCTGTGCAGGGAGCTGATGAAACACTTCAGGTCCTTGGCAATCTTTCATTGCAAATAGGGACCATTCTCAGGAAAGAAACAGCCTTTTGAGGATAGGTCTTTCGACTAAAAATTTCAACTAAAAATTGGTTATGATCTGCAAAAAAACACAGAGGAAATATTTAAGCAGAAACAAAATTAAAATAAATATTCTCTTCTGAATAGTAACAGTACTGAACACTGGTAAGGTGCATAGATGACCTGTCAGAGAAGCTGTCTATCCATTGCTCTCCTGCATGTTGACCTTGCTAATACTGATTTTGACACCCATTCTTGACGATGCATTAGAGCAATATACTGTTATATTTCAAGGTAAGTACTGAGTTACAGAATCACCTTAAACTGTAGGTCATGGTTTTTTAATCCAGCAATTTGACAGTAAAGAATCTGCCAGTTCTCAGGACAGAGTGAATTCCTACAAATTTTGAGGAGATAGGCAGCTGGCAACAGATTCAAATGAGCATTCCAGCTGAACTCCAGGTAGGGAAAGATCACATGAATTATTAGAAATAATAATAATTAAAAAAAATACACAGGAGCAAGACACCATGATCCCCAAGGTTCAACTACTGATAGTTTATAGGAGCCTTCTACTCAAAGAGTTTCCATACAAGTTCATGGAAACTAAAAAGAATTATTCCATGAATTTTGCTTCTACAACAGAACTTTAAAAAGTACACAAGGGCTTATTTCCACTTCAGCCATGTTCTTTAGTATATAGGCCACTTTTTAATATTTTATTTGGCTACTGGTGTTCAAAAAAATCAAGTCTAAATATAAATACCAATGTTTTAAAAAACAAATTTAAATATTAAAAGAAAAAAAAAGAGCATTGAGGTGTCATCCCCTAATAAGAATCTAAATTTCCAGATTTTCTAATAGTCCCTGCCATGTTATTCATTGGCTGAAGAAATGGAGGATAAGCAAGACAGCTATAGGGCCAAGAGAAGTACCCAAGAAAAATTACTACAAAATACTGTAAATTTATATATTTAAAAGTTTATTGTTTATTTTTCAAGGGTGACCTCAAGGATTTTCACAAAATAACTCATATAGGACTCTATTAATTGACTTCTATAGCTAGCATACCTCATTTTTTAACTTAACCAGATAAGAGCTCTGCCATCTTAACATGGCCTCTGATAGTCTTTGACCAGACGTTTCCTTACGCCTTGTTATTTTTGGCTTAGCCTAGAGCACTCTAATCCTCAGCCCCACAAGAAAGACTAGGGTTGGCTCATAATGCCAGGATGTCAGGGGATCAACTCGGAAGTGCCAACAGGATGAAGGATGGCGAAGTCTTCCTTGAGGCCAAAGTGAGTACAGTAACGAGCACACAGAGAGAGAGCTTGGCAAAGCTGGTCATTGCATTAGGTTAGTTTTCAGAGTAGAATTCCCATTTAAATTCAGTAAGATGTCAGATCCCTTTTGTTCAAGCATGAGGAAAGGTATAACACTCACTCTCTCTCCTCATACAATAAAGTCTAGGTTGAGACGTTGTTCAAAATGCTAATTTTAAAGCAAATGCAAGTTCAAGGATCTTAGCCAAAGCTTTGTGGCATGGTCAAACTCTGTGCAAAGCAGCTAAGAACAGCAGAGCTAGTGTTAAACCAGACAATGGAAATCCTAGTCACCAGCAGGAGAGTTTTTGCAAGGGATAATTTATCCCATCTTTTAAAAAGCTAATTAATCCATAATGACCTCTAGTAGCAAGGCTCAACTTAAGCAGTCTGTAGTACTAAGAAAAAAAAAAAACAATATAAAAAAAGAAAGTTCTCTGTAATGCAGTATCATACCCTCAACCTGCAGTCCAGGACAGCGGCACTCGGCACCACTGCAGACAGCTTCAGCTTTCTCAGCTGTGTAACGCTTCAGTTTCTCAAGCAGCCCATGACAGAGGATTCAATCAGCAAATAGTTTTTCCACAACTTTGATGGGGAAGGATACTATTAATTTTACGTGAGTGACTTGTATTTTGACAGGCAAAATGGTCAGGAAGGCAAGGACACACACCTAGACATTTTCCCCTGGTTTGGCAGCGATCAATACAATCACTTATACCACTGAGAAAATGCAGCCAGCTCAAAGCAATTTTCTCAAGGTGAAAGGCCAAAGAAACAACAAAATTGCCAGCATCAGAAGCCTCAATTCCTGATGAAAGGATTTCCAAGGTTGTACAGAAAGTAATGAATATCAATTCTGCTGCAATATTATTTACCTCCTAGGAGAAAACACTCTCCAGAACTCATGCTCAATCCTCCAAAACTTCACAGGGAAGAAAAGTGTAAGTATGGAAGCAAATTGAGGAAAGAGGTCTGTTCAGCTGCAATACCTGTGTCACATACCTCATTTCTCTTTAGCACCCTGCTGTGGGAAGCTGCAAAAATGAAGATGTTCTCGGCGCTGCTTCTGCTGAGCACCCTCCTGGGTACCCTCGCGGTGCCTTCCCACCGCCATTCTTGTTACAAGAGGGCCCTCAAAGACCACAACTGTCACAACATCCCTGAAGGCACGGAGAACCTTCGACAAATTCATGATGGTCTGCAAGATCACTTTTGGGAAGGGAAGGGCTGTGAGGTGATCTGTTACTGCAACTTGAATGAATTGCTCTGCTGCCCAAAGTAAGACCATACTCATTGCATGTAAACTTGTACAGTTTTTTACAACTGTTCATTATATTTCCATCATTTTACAGTTTCCACAGGTGGAATAAGCTACCACTTTAAAGAAATTAATCACTTCAGATGGCTTGAAATGATATTAAGATATAGCCAATTATCTGATATGCTGTCAGTGTCTCAGGTTTTGGTCTTCAGGTGCTCACGTAAGATTTGCTTAGCATATTTTGTAAACCTCCCTGTCCTAGTATTGGGGACTTCAGCATTTAAATCACCCAACTTTCAACTCCTCTGTTTGATCCAAACTAACTATAACTACATCAAACCCTTATCCAAAGCATTTTGCAATGAAGATGCTTTCGGACCACAAACAAAACTATTTGACTTCTGTCCCAAGGAAGAGAACAGTATTGACATTTTAAGGTGTACACACGTATGTCAGTTGACTAAATGATTCTGTAAAGAGAGCTGTTAACAGCAGGAAATCAGATAGGGGGAACAGAGGTTCACAAATACTTGTAAGACAGGGAAAAGATTTAGTCCCAGAACATCTACATTTCTGTGGTTTGCGGGCACAGCTGACAAAGCTTAACACTGAAGTTCTCACTGAACATGAGCGTTGTGTTGTTGTTACACAGAAAAAACTTAACTGACTTAAAAAAACCATCACCAGCCCATACTGGTTTTAAGTAATAAAAGGCATTAAGAGCTATTATTTCATTCATATATTTCATTCATTCATTTTGTCATATTTTCAGCAACATCTTTTCTTCAGTATATCTTTATTAGAAATAACAATTCCAAACTTATTAATACTTCAGGGGCACTAAAATGTGATGGTATCATATAGGCAAGCAAAAATTTTTTTAATTTGCTCTTAACATTCCCTAAAATCCAATAAAGGGCAAGTTTTCAACACTCTTGTAGGGGAGATGAGTTGAACCAAGTGGGAAAGACTTCTAAAGCTAAAAATCTCACATTCAAACTGAGAGCAGGGTTTAAGGAAGTTTTTCCATCTTTCCCTAAAACCAGATATGGTGTCCTCACTGTCAAGCACACCTTGAGTTTCTAGCTTCAACCTCTGAGCTTTGAGCAGCCTAAAAAATACTTAAGAAAGCATTCTTTCCACCATCCTGAGCTACACAAGACATTCTTTGCATGTCTGCTCTAGGGACATACTGCAGTAAACCAGTATGCATGCACCTGCCAAAGTCCTTTATTTTGATAATATAATCTACTTAGTAAGTTTATTTTCTCAAAGCTAAAATACCAGGGTGGAGTTCTGGCAATCTGGTCAGTCAATGAAAGTTTTGTCACCGCTTCTAAACCAGGTCAGCAGAGGTAGAAAGGCAGTATCTTCATTCAGATCTGCAGTTGCATTTGCATTGCCGGAAGGACATTCCCACAAACACAATAATCCCACACGTACCACAATATATGCTAAAAAATATCCCCAAAGGGAAATGTATGTCATGTTAAAGCCCTGATAAACCAATGAGTTAATTATTTAAATATCTGATCATATCTTTCAGGGATATTTTCTTTGGACCAAAGATATCTTTTGTGATCCCCTGCAACAGCCAGTGATTCAAGTCTGCAGGTGAAGATAACAGACATCATTCTACAATTGTGTAATAATGCTTTCAAGGGGAAAAACAAAACCACCACCATCTAACCCCAAAATGGTGCCTCATCTTACACCATAGAAAATTTTTCTTTCTACACCTTTATGGAATATCAAGCACGTAAGAAGTTCTTTCAAATTTGGTAGCTGACCTAATTTCCAACGGTTTAAGAGTCTGTGCAAGCTCTTAAGGCATACTAATACGCATATCCCAGCAAAAAGTATAACTCTTCTTTCTCAGCACAATATTCTCAACTAGTCTGGATGAAGAAACTTCAAGCCTAAGCCTTCATGTCATTAGGAACACGACTCTCACAGCAACCTATGGCAGTGCATCTTCCTACTGCATTCAATGCTTTTTTAAGCCGAAGCTATTCAGTCCCTGGTACTTTTCCAGACAGGCTCCCACATTCTAATTTAGGCATCTTAAAATACACGCACACACAAAAGGCATGTATTTCCATATTTGAAAATATTCCACTGGAATAAAACAAAAGTCAAAGCTGACATTAATGGTATTAAAGCACACTTAGGTGTTAATTATGTGTAACTGGTCACCTGCCTTAACCATACAATCCGTAAAACCTTAAATTACTTAACACTGAACACTGAAAATACTAGAACAGTATTTTTTTTAAATAAGCCTTATTTGAAATACGGTACCCCAGAATTAAGTTAAAATGCTGGCTTTTTATTTTTAGGTTAGCCTTGTAAGGAAATAGCTACAGAGGAGAAGACATAGAGGTAATCATTTTAACATTTAAGAGGTAGCTAGGCAATAGACAGAAAGAGGCATAAATTTTTGGCTGTTTTTTGCTTATACTGCAATCTATATTGGAAGGCGTGGAGCAGTGACTGTGTAAGTTTAAGGAAAGCCACCTGAACAAGCCACACTTACAGGCAGCAAACCTGGCTTGTTGCCTTACACAGAAAGACTCCTTAGGTATTAAGTAAGTCAGTCATGTGGAAGGTATGCAGTACTGAAGTAACTATTCAGTCATCTCCACTCAAAAAGTGCACTATTCACTTGATAGTCTTACACATTAGACCAAACTGCTACGACCAGTTTACCAGGCTACTTCACGTGCTGGTATGAAGTATCAGGGTGACTGTTTTTCTTCCTATTAGCAAACAAGAGTTAGATACTGAGGGGGGTGATTATACACTGCCAATAATAAATGTTGCAAATAAATCTGTGTGTTCTATTTTTGCACTACTGACTGTTCAACAGTTTGTGTCACTGGGTTTTTTAAGCTTTGTTTGTGTAATTATTCCTGAGTCATTTAGGCTTCCTACCAAATTAAGGGTAAAATAAACCCCACAGATCTGGCAACACAGTGAAAATATCTGAAGTCAGAGCTCTGCTAACAAAGCATATGGTAACTGCTCTTGTGCAAAGTCCTTTATAAGCTTCTAGGGCATGTAACTTCTGTTGTTTGTGCCATCTAGTTTCTACAAGAATCATGTTGCATATGCCTGGCATTCACAGCTTTCCAAAGCAGCAATAGCAAAAAAATTAAGGCAAATGCAAATTTGGGTACTAAAGTTGGCAGCTTTCAGTTATCTTCCTTCCACTACTCCTGAAAAATCCATAATCCACTGAAACAAAGTTCTGCCACTTCACACATGCAGCAGGATAGGGTCACTTAAGTTACTACTGTAACACTGATTTCCCATAGAAACTTGTTTTTGTTCCTCTCCCCACTCTCCTTCCCTCACACAGCTTCTTCTACAGGTCCTGCCAGGCCTAGGTGAGAACATTCAACCCCATCATGCACTCAAAGTCTTTATCATTCAGATGTCCTATCCATGACTAGGTTCCCTGGCTGTTTATGCAACTTGCACTTTGAAGATAAGAAGCTGAACTTGTGCAAAGGATATTTAGCAAACAAATAGACAGTCCCTGTAGTGAAACAGGCATGAAAACACTATCTTCAAAGGAGCACCAATTTTAGCTGTCACTAGCTAGATATCACTAACCATCTTGAACTTAGGCCAGCATTGCAGAACTGTATTGTGGAAATACATAAAACAGTGCAATGAAAAATCACACCACTGAGAGATACTGGGAAGACAGCCAGTTTGAGATTAGGGTTTATCATCGTTCAGTTCTATGCAAGTGTCACAGGTCAAAAAAAGCAAAGTAAAGCATCTTAGTTGCAGTGATGCCAGAAAAGTAGTAATTTTCAAAAAAACCTCACAAGATAATTATCGAGCAGATTAGACCATGGACATACTGCTTTTTCATTTTTCCCAAATTAAGAAAGAGCTTATAAACCTCAGATAAGGTTAGGAGTTGCAATTTAATGTTTACTGAACAAGCTGAAGCTGTGTCCTCCTCTGCTTTAAGAACAAAACTATTTTCCCTCAGCTTTTTCTTCAACCTATGTGCACAGCTTAAAGCAGAAAGAAATCATATTCCATACACCACACATTTGGACTGGCACAATAGTTAAAAGAAGCCATTCATAATACCATCTTCAACATCAGACTTTACTAAGACGCTCAATTAAAAGCATAAGTATTGCTGGATATTTTTCTCATATGTTACCGTAAGTTTTGGTTTTATTGTCAGGGTTTTTCATTCTTTTTAAATAGGCCTGAGCTAATGCATGCAACGAAAAAGAAACAGTATGCCTATTAAAAGATACTGTATTGACCCCGCACAGACTCTGACTCTCATTCTCCAATTAAGTTCTTAGCAGCAGTCCATGTAGACGAATGGAAAAGTCAGCAGCTAAAGGATTTCTTACTGAGTTGAAGGATTTCTCAGCACAGTAAGTTGCAGCAGTCTCTTCATCCGTACTTACAGCTTTGAAATTTGAGAGCAGCATTTTTTTCCACTTTAATATAGGAGTAGGAAGGCCTCAGAGCTTGGAAACACATTATCTCAGCAAGGACAAAGTGAATAAACAAATCAGAAAAACTTCCATTGATTCTTGTTTCCAAAGGGGAAAAAGAAAGTGTTATTCAGCCATTTCTGCCCAGCTAACTACTGGAACTGTTACTTAAAGCCTTTTACCTTACGAAAAAGAACCTATTGCCAGGACTGCTACAGCTTTTTTTTTAATTAAAGGCATTGCATCATGAGAACTTTAAGTACATTCATAAATATATCCTTGGCACACTTTAATTGAAAAATATTTTAATATTATTACATAATTCAAAGCTTAACTATTAGGTACAAGTATCATAGCATATGCTGAGTTGGAAGGGACCCATCAGGATCATCAAGTCCAACTCACTAAAGTTACAGACACACCCACTTGAGCAACAATACCTGTGATATTTATTTAAAATACTTTTGCTGAGGAAATTTGTTTCATAAGAGATGGTTTTCAAACAAATCAGCAAGGTTATGAAAAATAAAACAGAGACAATTGTTCTCAGGAGAAAAAATTACAAAGAAAGCTTCTGCATATCAACAAAACCTCAGTCTTTAGATTTGCGGTCTGAGTCTCAGTCCCAACTTGTTCCGCCTAATGAACCCCGCTATCCATCTTTAGATCTGGTTTGTTCTTGTCATTCTTCACTGAGTAGATGAAGTATGTTAAGGTGTCCTTTTCATTCACTGGAATTGTCCTAAAATGGCAGCCAATTATCTATAAAGGAAGAATGCAAGGAAATTAAATAACCACTTATATACAGGTTATATACAGAAACTGACAATTCAGATTTAAATCTATTATGTTAAAGTTTGAAAGACTGATCAAGAAGTTTGCAAAAAAAAGGAAAAGTTGCCTTTCCTCAAAAGTCCTTTATATAGTCATAAAATAGGTAAACAGGAACCATTTTATTGAGAACTATGAACTAAATAATAGCAGCCTATACCCTAATTTCCAAAGTAAAAAGTCCAGAAACTTTCCAGGAAAAAACCCAAAGTTATCAAAACAAGTATGAGACTATCACTAAGTCGGTTTAGTTAAAGCTTGAATATAAAGCAGGTAACGACTACAGAATATCAGCAGTGTCAGCACAGAAATGAGAGGCTACTGCTCACCACTCAGGCTGGAAGGTGGTCTGTGTCTGCATCAAATCACATGCAGACACATCTAACACAAGAATATTCAAGAATTATAATTGAATATTCAGCTCTTCAAAATAGACCTATCAATGAAAATTCACCATGCTGTAACCAATAAAATATAACAATCTGTAAATAGTTCTTGAAACAATTCTGTCATTTCAGAAGTCTTTCCCTCCATCAAAATGAACATCAGCTTTAAAACAAAATACGCAAAATATTATACCAGTCTGAGTCCATTCTCTGGCTTTTTGCCAGGCTGGTAGGTTAAAACTAACAAGTGATAAACATGGGACTACTCATCTAACTACCACAGGATTTAAGAATAAGTGTTTAGCTTAATTAAAAATTTAGGACACCTTCTCAACTCTACCCCCAAAAACATCCAGAGAGAAGCAGTTTGACAGAATCCTTTGAAGTAGACTTTAAGTAACAGTTAGTGTCTATTGTATGTTAGGACAGGTTACAAGGAATGTACTGTATACTAAAGAAGTTCTGTGGCTATGGTTCACAAAGACCTGCAGGTCAGTTAAATCAAGCATGTGACAGAAGGAGCTTTGCCCATGCACACCATGTAGCATAAGAATAAACTAGTGCAATCATGAGATTGCATCATGAGATGTACCTAAAGCAGACTCTTAAAAACAACAGTTTTGCAGAACAAAAACTGCTTGTGCTTTTTCAGTTCACAGTCTTGCTAATTCAAGAGGTAGCTGCACCTTAACCTACTTTTAAGAAAACTGAAAACTGATGTTGCATTCTTACACACAGTGGCAGTAGCACTATTATTTTACAGCTCAGCCTTGAGATTGCTCGTACAGCTAAAAACCTTGTTTTTAATCCACACAGATTAAGGGAGAGACAAACAGTGTGTCTGCACTTAAACATAACTGAGTCTATCACTGTACAGAACTGAAAAAACAGTAACTATGCTTCCCTGTTAAAAGATCACCAGCTCTTCCACTTACACGAACATGCTGTGACTGCATCTCTGCAGCACAAAAGAATTCCTTTAAAATTGCACTCACATGAAGCAAAGATGCTTATGTACAGCTGTACTTACACACAGTTTCAGTATTTTTAGAAATACTGGTAAGAAGAACCCTAATTTCATAAAAATCCATTTTTATGAGAGCAGACCCAGGTGGTCTTAACAGAATTAATTATCAATAGAAGCATGGTTTTTTCAGGTTTCCGTACTTTACATATACAGACACACCTATGGTTGCAGTAACTAGCTTTTTAAAGCAAAGTCTGAACACCTTACAAGAACTTCACTGCCACCTCTGTTTCTAGTTCTTTTCAGCAGGGTATTTCGAGTGAAGTTGTGATTGATGTACAGACACAATAAATCAACAATTCTATGATATTCAGAGGGACACACATCATCTTCCTGTTCCAACTCAACACTGTGTTTTTAAGCAGCAAACACTCCTTTTGGAAGTTACGAGTTCCTCCTCTGGAAAGAGCTTCTATTTTTTATTTACTTGGCTCAGGAGCTGTGGCCAATGAAGGAAGCTAGATAAGCAGCTCTCTTTTGTTCTCCCAAAATCCAGATTATATAGGCACTTTATGGATAGCAAGCTCCATTTTCTATTATGGAAAAACACTCATACATACTTCAACAAGCTGTGCTTTGTTAAGTCCCGGTCTGGTCTGTAGCTTGAAGTGTCTTTTGTACCTTCGAAGTGTGTTTACTTGTAACTGATATAAATCAACCTAGAAGAAAAGACAGGGAAGGGGAGGAAAACAAACTACTGTAACTGAAAAAGATTCAGTCATTAATAGTTTGCCTCTCAAAAACATTTTGGAATCTCACAGATACACAAGTGTAAACAGTCAGCTCAGCAGATGTCATTTTGACAAAAAACAAACTCCACCCTGCACCTTCCAGCAGAAAGGAAAATAGCCCAGTTCAGTTTAAGAGCATTTTATTGTTACTGAGCATGGTTCTGTCTCCCTTTAGCTGTGGAGAGTATTTAGAACTCATTACTGTACTTCAATCAGTTATGGGTTTTTGTCTGTTCCCCAGTTCAAATATGATAACACAAAGCCTAATAACAACTTTCATCTAACATCTATGAGGATGCTGACTCAAAGGAAGCTCCCATAATGTGATTTCAGCCATTAAATCCTAAATAAGTTACATGCAAAACACAGTATATCTACACCATGAAAGAGCACACATTAGAATCGGGAAAAAGTCTGCAGTACAAAGTTTTCTTTGCTTGAGGTGAGAAAAGAAAACAGCTGCTCTTGCTCTGCAAATGTATCCCTGCTACATAAGCACAATACAGGACTTATGTGCAAGGGCATAAATGTCCAAAACTATTTTTCAGCGAGTCAACAGTTGAGAGAATTGCACAAGGTTCTCTTAGGGATACAAATACACTGCTTTAATCCAGTAGTCCGTCAGTTTTGAATCCCATGACCTCTGATCAACAATCATTTCTCCCAGCAACAGCTTACCCCCCCCCGCCACATTCTCTTAGATAACATAAGAGCTTAATCCGATGACTGAGTGGGAAAGCAACCTGAGAAAACAGGCTGAATGAGAAATTCTACCAGACGTATTCTCCAAATTCACTACTGTAAAGACTGATGATAGCATTCATTCTTGCTTTAAATTAACAGTCTCACTATAGAATACTTAAAAGAGCAGTGCTACTGCATACTTGGCAACCTGGCCAGATTGGAGGTGAGGCCACCTTGCATGGTAAAGGATGAGTATCCTTTGGTGTTCTAAAGTTTGTGGCATTACATTCCACTTCTCAAGTCACAGTGGAGAACCCATCCACAAAGCATCATGCAGAGGAGTAGCAGCAGCTTCTCAGCAGGTCCCAGAAGCTACCAGTACCACAAGAGTCTCTTCCCTTCCTGTAGGAATAACTTCTAACCAGTAAAGGTAGTGAGACTATCTCTAGTGAGATGAGAAGGAAGATGAGAATGACTGAGAAGGAAAGAGGAGAGCCTTCAGGTCTTCAGAAGAGCGATATTTTTTTCCTTACTAAACTGGATAATAATTAAAAATAAAGGTGGTCAAGGGCCAACAGGCGTCTAAGACATACAGTAATTACATGGAATGAACATACTGCCCCTGTCCAAACAGCCAGCTGAAACTCCTCAAAAGTAGTTCCCAGACAGTTTTATTCCCTGCAGTAGTACTGTTAAGAAAAAAGCTCATTTTCTTGTTCTGGAGATATCCATCAGTTGTGTCATATTTTATAATTCTGGCATATGAAAACAAAACAGGCTTGCAGAAGAGCTGCAATTACACAGCATCAGAGAGCTACCTGAAGTCACACAGAGCACTAGCTTTAGACAGAACTTTCCAAGAAGCAGTTCCAGATATTTAACAGACAAACAACACAGCCCAACATCAAACTACTCTCAATCCCTTAAAATCCTCTTAGCCAGAGCCTTCAGACTGGAGACACGTGCCTTTAAGCACAGATTCCTGTACAAAGTTTCCTCACTTATGTTACTGCTATCTGCAGATGCCGACCACAAGGATGCCATTAAATTAACACTTACAGAGCAATTTCTAAAGAACGCCTAAACAACCCCTCTCAAAAGGGACCAGGTAGGCATGACAGCCTCTGATCAAAATTAATACACCGAGGAGCACCTGTTAAGCCATGCTGTAGTAGAAATAACCCAGAGCACATGTAGAAAAAAGAGAGGCTTAGGTGCCAAGATCCTCCCACTGCACTACGGAAAAGGCTGAAAGCTATAGTCCGCTTATTTTAAATGGGTGAGGTTTCACTGATCTGCAGTGGAAAAAGTAGGTTGAAAAAACACCGTATTTCTCCACTCCTTCCTAGCATAGCTCTCCAAATGGCTCTTCATCAACGGCGTAGAAACAAAGAGCCACCACCGTTAAACTTTTCAGTGTTTAACGTGACTAAGGCAATAGAGTAACTGCCAAGAGCCATCTGCAATGCATTTAGCACTGAAGAGAGGACTGGAGAGACGGGACAGAGCAGCATTTATATCCCAAGTCCTGGGTGCAATTCCCTTCGAGCTGTCAACTCCTACAGAAGACAGAGTTTGCTGGTACGTGGCAAAGCACCACTCTGGAGAGGAAGCACTAAGAAGGAAAAGGCTGAAAACAGCAGATTTCTGAGAGAACCATCACTTAAAAACAGACTCTTGTTCATTCTACTCTGCATAGTTTAACCAGAGAATATGGCATAAAATTCACTAAATTTTGTTATATTAAGAACAGTGAGAATCAAGAATCTTCCCTTTCCCACATGCCCTAGAGTAAGAGAAGCTGTAAAAGCGAGGAAGTGCTATCGGTGCAGCCTCGGCAGTCATTAAAAACAAGCTTAACATAGCAATTAGGAAAAAACCCCAAACAAACACAACTAATTATCTACCTCTGGAGTGTCGATGTCTTGCACTGGTGAATCGCCATCATCGTCGCTGCCTTTCCTCTTTCTTCTATTTCTCACACTCTGAATTAAATTTTTGTGGAAGTCACAAATATACAGATGTCTTGCCTACAAGAGTAAAACGGCGTCTTTCAATCAAATCCATACAGTGTATCTCCCAGACTTAAGATACAAATGTGCTTAGAAACACAACCCTTCAGTAATCAAAGCTGCGTTAACCGGGTTAAGGAAGCTTTTTTACTGCCTTCTTCTAAACAGAGAGTGAGTGTGCTGTGCTACAGATCGCTGCCACCGCCTGGGCCCAGAGCACGCCGAAATGCTGCCCTCGGCCGATTCAGCAGTGCCAGGCTGTGGAGACACCGAGCACAGCCCTCCCCCCGCCCGCTCATCGCAGCGCCGGGGCCGGGCAGCACGCTAACAAAAAACAAGCTTCCAGTTGTTCTCTGAAGGGAGAAAACACGGCTCTCGTTTCTAGGTCTATATCCTTCCCTCCTTGTTTTACTTCCGCTACCCGGCGCGGTCACGCAACACACTTATTTTTACTTTCTTTCTTTTTATACAACTTTCTTTTTGTAGGGATTCTGCACGCTGCGGGAGATCTCGGCGCGTACCAGCCCTGCATTCTAGGCCCGCATGCTTTACGGGAAACGAGAGCCCGGGCAGCGTTACCGTCCCGGCCAGCAACGCGATGTGCCGCCGGGCCGGAGTCCCCCGGGGCACACGCAGCCCCGGCCGGGGCGCCGGGGGCTCCCGCGGCAACCGCGCGTTGGGGCCCCGCTTTGCCCTCCCGCGGCACCGGGCCGGGCCGGACACGCTCCGAGCCGACCGGGCGTCCCGCCGCGCTGAAAGGGCCGGGGGTCCGCCCGCCCTGCCCAGCCCAGCCGTGCCGAGCCGAGCCGCGCAGCGCGGCGCCTGATGGCTGCGGAGCGAGAACAGAGCGGAGCGGGCAGACAGACGTGCGGCGCTGCAACACGAGGCGGAGCAGCGAGCGCGGCCCTGGCCAGGAACACAGACAGACCAGCGCGCCGGGAGCCATGCAGGCTCCGCTCCGCTGCTTCCCGGCCACGCTTCCTCCCGCTGCGGCTGCAAGGGGGCACAAGCAGCCGATGCTCCCGGCTCTTGGCGGTGGGAGGGGGCCCCAGGAGCAGGGAGGGGAGGCGGGCGCTACCCCGCCGTGGAGGGAGAAGACTTTCAGGCAGTGCTCCTGCAGAGCCAGCCAAACTCCGCCGTGCTACGGAAAAGGGGGGAAGGGGAATCGAACACTTCACCGCAGCCAAACACCCCCTGCCCCACTAAACTTTACTGAAAGCCCCCAAGCCAACTAAGCCACGGATGCAGCCACTCGCCGGCGGCTTTTGTCCACCCGCCCCCCCCGGCAGCCCCGGCCCGTCCTCCCCTCCCGGACTTACGCTCTTGTCCAGCTCGATCTTCACCTTCTTCTGCGAAATGCTCTTCTGGATCCGCTTGCTGAAGCTGGCGTTGCCGGCGGCGCGGCCGCACCGCTCCCCCTCCTCCCGGAGGCAGCACAGCTGCCCGGCCCCGGGGCCGCCCGCGCACCCGGCACTCGCAGAGCCCGCGGCGGTAGCTGGACCCAGCCCCGGCGCCGCGGGCGGCGGCGGCACCTCCACGGCGGGGCCCGCACTGCCCACCACCGCGGCGGCGGCGGGGTCTGCCCCGCGCTGGGTCACCTCCTCGGGGGCGAAGCCGTTCATGCCCGGCGCCACCGCCGCGGCTGGGGGGATCCCGCCCCGCACCAAACTTCCCCGGCGAGGTGGCGCAGCCCGGCGGGGCGCTCCCCTGCTCCCTGCCCGCCTCCCTGCAGCAGCGGCACCGGGGCGCGAGTCCGCCTTCAAGGGCGGCCGGCCCACGACTTGCGTGAAGGGCTCTCCTCGCCGGCAGCCGCTGCCTGAGCCCCGCGACTACCGGAGCGGCGGCGGCGGCGGCGCAGCCCCGCGGGCCGCCCCACTTCCTCCTTCCCCCCCTGTCATGTGGAGACTCTTCAGCTGTTTCCTATGTAACAACAGCAACCTGCCCTGCCCGCCCCGCCCCGCCCCGCCCGCCGCGCATGCCGCCGGCGCGCGCGGCCCCACGGGAAGCACAGTCCGTGCCCGGCCGCGCGCCCGGCCCTCGCGGCCGCACCGCCGCATCTCCCGAGGGATCGGCGGCAGGGTATGGGATGGAATAGGATGGGATAGGATGGGCTGCGGCGGCGCCCGGGCAGGCAGGGCCGCCCAGCGTAGGTGGCGGTGGCAGCCGCTTCTCTTCGCCGCCTTGCGCTTCGCTCCCTCCCGTGCGGAGGCCGGGCCCGCCGCGCGCGAGCGGCTCAGCCCGCCTTTAAAAGGCCCCGCGCGACAGCCCCTCTCCCCACCCCCCCCCGCCCCGCGCGCCTCCCCGGCGGCGCGGCCCCGGGATTTGGAAGTGCGGCCTCGGAGGGTGCCGCGGGTCGGAGTCGAGCTCCCGCTCGCCCTCCAGCCCACACAGGGCTGGGCTCCTCCGCCACCTCCTTCCACCCTCGCAGCATCTCCCCCTATTTTCACTTGTTCTAAGGTTTTAGCCGAAACAGGCGCTGCTCGGGCTGCTGGTTCCGGATTTTCTGTCTCCTGCCTGCCCTCTCGGCCTCGTCCTTCCCTGCCTCCCTGCCTCTTGTCTGTCCCGCTCTCGCTGCCGGCCGTGGCTCGGGAGCGGGTCCCGCCGGCCGCAGGGAGGGCGGGCAGGCGCTATCCAGATGCTCCTGCCCCTCTGCCTGCGGGAGGGAGCTCCCGGGAGCCGAAGTGCAGCCGCCGGCCGTGTCTGCCGGCCGAAAACAAACGCAGCCGCGTCCTTTGTTAGAACTCCTTTTAGAACACACGTAGTTAGGGGTCGTCCTGCGTTCCCGTGGTAAAGATCTCTGAAGACAAAGACAACTTGCAGTCCGAGTTTCCAATTTTCGTCATTTAAAAGGACTTTTTGTTAATAATGGTAACTTTAACAACAGGAAAGACTGAGAATGCAGAATTATTTTTTTCCACTGATGAACCAAGATCTTGCTGTGCACACGACTAGCTAAAATAGACACTGTGAAAATACTTGATAAAAGCAGGTATTTTTAGTTTTGAGATTTTACAAAGCTACGCAAGAGATGCGTTGGCATTAAACCATTTAACAATTCAGCTGTCGACAGCAGAGCGGCAGAAGCAGCAAGCTCTGACCTACTATCTTTCTTCAAGCACGTTCAAATGACATGCAATGAAGGGAGAGGCTTTGCTTTCCTTTTGAACTACCGCAAATATTCCTTTAAATCTCAGAAATGGCATCTGAGCTGAGCATACTCATAGCACAGTGATTTAATCACTGAAATATTTGACCATATCGCTTGCTATACGTTTCCAGCTTGAAGAAGGAGAGGAGTAGCAGAGAGGCTGGTGAATAATTCAAGGAGACACAGATCCTGCATAAGCCAAAGTTCTGCGTGAGCCAGGAACGCGATTATAGAGCAGTTTCAGTTAGTGCTGCAGATGGCTCCTTAATCTGATTGCATAACCTGGTATTAGAGAATAAGGGTAGGTCCCACTTCACGCTCCCCACTGTCGCAACTGAATGAACGATACAGCAACTGAAGCTAAACTGGGCATAAAGTCACAGACAGCAGTTACCCAGAAAGCACGTTTTAGTGATTAGGGAGGGGAATAGGAGAAGAGTTGGAAAACATACTAAACCCCACGTTATTATCAGCCAAGCTGAAGACTGAGTAATGCCTAGGTTTAATTCCATGCTCTGCTGCTGTGCAATCTCAGGCAGCAAAGGTTTAACTCACCTTTTGAGTTTGTGATTTCAAACTTTAAAAAAATGTATAAAAATTTTCAAAAATAATAATTTAAAAACCCCCAAACCAAAACCTAAAAAACACCAAACCTCAAAAAACAATAACAATTGTAGCAAGCCTTAAAGGGGAACATAGGAAGCATAAGCTGGGAAAAGTGGGACAAAGGTGAGTTCCAGGAATTCTTCAGTGGACATCTGGGTCATGAATAGCAATTTCTAGACTCTCAGACTATGTCTTTGGAGGTCCCTTTTTTTTTTTTTCCCAAAAGGATTTGACCTTACTGTGAACATAAAATATGTCAGTCTGGGTCTGCTGCTGTGATTTGGTATCAGTTGTGCATTTTAAATGTTTTCAATCTTTTTTTTTTTTGTAGTTTAGGAGCAGTTAAAAGCCTGATTATGTGACTTAGCCATGCTTTCCAAGATGCAGATTTATAAGCATAATTTCAAGTAGAGTATCACAGTTTCATGATTAGATCATGATAGGACAGTCATGGGGCTGAGAAAGATTGTTCTGCTCCTGCTTAAGCTGCTCGTTTTCACACCTGTGCCCTGTGCTTCTTTGTGCCCATACAAAGATTTGTACGGCTGCACGGCAAACTGTATTGGGTTACAACTAGGCCAGCACCAAGAAAAATCATTTAGGTTTAATCCTGATGTGCTTTACCACTCCGTTGCATGATGTTCCAGCAGACAGGAAGGTCTGGTAACAGGGCAGTACTGTGTGACTGGTGCAGAGGGATGACCACCTCATTTGGTATGAATAGTAACAAAGAAATCATGTCACTTTTAATTTTGCATCATATGTGGGATCAAAAAATACAAAGAGCTGCAGCTAGATGGGCTTATCAGACAGTATGAAGCTTACTAAAGGCTGGATCTACAAACTTTCACAAAGCTTGGGCCCCACAAAATCAAAAGAGAATTCATCACAGAGTATGTTGTCTAAAATTGTTTTATAACATAAGCTCTAGTCTTGGCTAGCATAAGTATTTGGATATAAATAAAGCATATATAGGGAGATATTTTAAATAAACACAAAAACATGCAGCATTGCAAGAATATACTGATTAAACTTGAAAAATAAATCAGTTCAAAGGAAACAGCAGCTCCAAAACAACTCTATACGTGAGACATCACTATCACTCACAGTGGAGCTGAATAGTACAAAAGGCAGCAGTAATATATATCCCTTGTGGGTGCCAAGCACACAGCATGGATGACTTGTAAGTGGCATGCAGAAGGAACAGGAGCTACAGCATCTTGAAAAGTCTGCCTGAATTCACAGCTCCCAGGCTCTGAAGTCAGTGGGACTCGGTGGCCCCTCCTGGCACTGAGACAGGCCAGGCACAGGTGGGAGCTGAGCAGCTTGTGCCTCTCTGAGATGCCATATGTCCCAGCTCCTGTTAGCTTTTGATTGATGTGTTTTGTAATTTGAGAGGGAAGAATGATAATCAGATGCATCACCTTAGATATACTGCAAGCACACTGCAAACGTATTATTAGTAATTAATCCTGGAAGGGAAATGTGGCTTGTAACTATGTATACATATCCATCTGATAAGGCTGAACGAGGGATGGTTATTGCCTTCCCCAACAGGTACTATTCAGCTGAAGTCTACACTACCTCACTTGTGAACAGCACCTGAAATCCTGTTAGCAAACAGAATAATAAGGAAAACTTGTGATGTACATTTTTCTCAGCAAATATGCATTTTCTTTGTTATGTATTGTAACTATTTTAGTGAAAATAGATTCGTTTAAACACTTGAAAAATTCTGCAAATTCCACCGCACGCCCTGGTGGTTTTGACAAAAGAGCAACCTACTTGATAGAAATTCATGAGCTGTGATAAAGAACAGTGACCAAATCTCTCCTTCCTTATCAGGAACTAGTCCTATTCTTTTTATTGTTATTTTTTTTTTCTGATTTTTTTAATATCTGGTCTTCCTTTCCCACTTCAGCACCAACTAACTGTGCTACTGCCTGTTGCCCTGCTTCCAATTTATTGTCCAAAATAGTTAAAAGCATAGAGCCCAAAGCACAGGAATATTGAAACTTATCTACAGACTGTATTTTTTTACTTCTTTACATGTTTTAGACTAGGATAGTTAAAATATAACTTCAGATAATTAATTGTATAACAAAATTTAATTGTAATACAGAGCTTATTGTATAGGATTCAAATAATATGATAAGAGAAAAAAAAAATCATAACTTTACCCAAAATTATTTCCAGGTCTGAATCCAGCTGAAGCCAGTCTTTTTTAAGCATTCTGCCTTTTACAATGGAAAAAAAAGATGTATGAAAGGGTTTATACAACACAGGCTTTTATTAAAAGATTTAAAACAGTAAAAAAAGTCCAAAACTGCACATTGTATTTTAAGAATAATCTAGCTGTTACAGGATTAAAACTTACAACCCTGTGTACTATAAAAGCTTTAAAGTTTTGTAATACATTTCCCTTAATGGTTTGCGCCAATTCACTTTTGCAATAAGCCATTAGTTACAGGAGGTGTCAAAGGATCTTTTGGTAGAAGGCTTCTGATGTGCAAAAATACAGAATCTTAGATGTTCTTTGTTGAATGTACGTGACAAATTTTTAATTGGTGGACTTAAAACAATGAAGTATGAGATAGGAGAAAGAGCTCAAACACAACCATGGCACAGAAGCGGAGAAGCCAATCTTCAGCTTTGCACTGAGGTACCTCTCAGTTCCTCCTCCTCCTCAAAAGCTCCCACTCGGCCAAGTTAAAACTGCATCTCTGTCTGCTTGTTTCAGAGTCACTGATCACTTGTTCATCCAGGTTGCTTCGATTAACGTTTTGTTTCACATTATCTGCTACAGTCGTACATTTTGTGAACAACTCTTTTCTGCTTATAGAAATTCAGATTCAATACTGGCTTTAATCACCTGCTTCTTGCTTTGTATAACGCATACTACACCATCTTCAGTTTTGTTAGAGGGTCCTAGAAACAGTGCTCTGTTACACCATCAGGTCCTCTTCTGATATGGATTCATCTCACAGAAAGGAAAACAGGAAAGTTCTGTAGCCCTGAAGCCTCTTCCAGTGCCCTTGTCTTTGCAGTACAGTTATAACCATCTCTAGGTCTGACTTAGCTCTTGTTGAACTTAACAGCAAGTTTTAAGTGCCCCTTGGGAGCAGGTGAACACTTCCTCCACCC